TACACGGCATGGCAGTAGGGACATCTTTATTTACAGATCATTAAAAAGATGAGTTGTGTGGTAACAGAATAAGCAGAAATACTTGTTTTTCCTGAGTATTTTCACAGCATTTGGTCAAGTGAAAACTATGCAGATGCCTCCTGGCTGCAAAATGAAAAGGAGAAGAAAGAGCAAAGAGAAGTATGGAGTTGGAGCAAAAGAGGAGACTTGAGATGAGGGACTGCTGGACTGAAGCAGTAGTTACAAGGGGAACACACAGAAGAAAGATCCAAACCAGCAATTCTTCAAGTAGTAATTTCAGACATTGAGTACGATAAATATTGGCATACTCTCCATCCATTGTCTTTCTGTGCTCACCATAGCTGAGTACCTGGACATAATGATATCAGAAGATCTGCACATCCTGGAAACATCCTCATCCCAGGGCAAGTAGAAGATCTTTGGCAAAACAGGTGGATGAAGAAAGGAGGGAGCAAGCTTTGAGGAACAGAAGCTATCTATAGTGGCAGAAGTACCCAGCATGGTTTTCTTACTTCTCTGTCCTTCTCATTCAGCATGATTTCTGTTTCAACCCCTCCTTCTTTACTTCTTTCTTCATTTTGTTCTCCAAAACTTTGTCAAATATTAACTTTCTGGAGGAGGCACCCACTATGCAGGAACCCTTTTACTGTACACAAAAAGGACTGAGATTAATGTAAACTACAGAAGGCATATGATGAGAACAATAAGGAAACTCTAACAACTAAGGTTTGCACAGTTCACTCAAGGAGCAGATTTCATGACACTTCCCCCTGGATTCAAAGAGGACACTTTAATCTCACTACTATAAATATGACCTAAGGAAGGACCAGGGTGGAGCATGGGAAATACTGTCCTTTTAATTGTCTATTCTTTGGAGTAGCAATCTACTCATGATGTAACAGCCTCTGCTGGCTCCAGGCAAGTCATACAGCCTTTGAAAGGGTTCTGAGAAATGTTAGTTTCAGTTGATGCTACATGCCTGAATTAGAGCTCTTATCTTGGCTTCACTGTGTGTGCAGTGAGAGGGACGCATAGCAGCAGCACTAGGCAGGCTTTACTTGGATATCATCAGCCAAATCACTTCTCAGGGTATACCCCGGGTTTTCTCAGGGTTGTATCAGTCTTCCCATAGAATATCAATAATGCTTCTAACAGTGTAGGTGGAGCTTCAGGCCGTTTGTGATCCCTAAGGAATTTCACAGGGTTCCTCATTTATCTGTTCTGTATTTTCTTTATCCAGGTTTTTCCACAGCATTCTATGGAGTAGGAGGCCCTTTTGTCATTTCATCGGATGTCCAAAGAGCCTGCACATTGGCTATGTCTGCTACCTGAAGGAAACCAGCACCAGCAGGTAGGACTTGCTTCATCAGTCTAACCGATCTCTGGGCCGTGACACTCTCCCAGAGGGACACACCTGGGACACATGTGATAACCTGGATGTTCTATTCCCTCTACAGAAAACAACCCATCCATGCCAAAGGCCATGCTTTTCAAGCTGGTTGGAGACACACAGCCTTCATTTTCTCCCTTAACAATTAGTATAGACACAATACAGATGGCTGATTCCCACTGCAAGTAAAACTAAAGATTGATGTGGCTGGATGTCTTACTGTTGACATTCTAAAGACAGCAATATCACACATGACCAACTCTTCTGTATACAGGTTTTGAACTATCTTGGACAAATGTTAGCACTGAAGAAGTTCTTCTCAGGCTTGTTGCTAATGAAGTGACCCCAGCTCAGTGTTCTTCTTGAGCTCTTGAAACTTTTTTCCATGTAGGTAACCAGTTGGGTAACGGACACACACTAGGAGAGCTCCGTAATGCTCCGTGCATGCCGTGCCTGAAGTTAGGGCACTGGTTGGATGTGCATGAATTACACGTAAGTACGTACAAGCTGCACAGGTGTAATTTTCCCTATAATTTCACTTGAGATACACTACAGTGTTATTTTTTGTTTTGTTGGTTTGTTGTTGTTTTTTTTCAAGCATACAGTGCTAGTTATCCATTCAGGGCTACAGTTATAACCTGCATTAACACATAAATACATCTTTTGCCCACAATCGTTTGCATTCTGCTCTCTGGGTCAATGAATGTGTTATAGAGATGCAGCTCCACAACCACTTTGTGAACCACCCTGCTTCTGCCATATGCTCTAAATGATGTGCTGATTTATTCAATGAATTATTTCGGATATGGATTGTTATAGAATCAGCTAGGCTGAAAAAACCTTTAAGATCACAAAGTCCAACCGTTACCCCAGGACTGCGAAGCCCACCACTACCTAAACCATGTCACAAAGGGCAAACTGCTCCCCCTTCAGGATCTACCCTTATGGCTGCCCCTCATGATCTCCACTTGCAGCCACTCCTCATCTGCCCCCTATTAAGTGGCCCACACTGTATAGCTGCCGCCCCTACCCCCCATGGCTGCCCCTGCTCTCCCCTCATGGCCAACCCCCACATCCCATGGCAGCCCCTGCACTCCCCTCATGACTGCCCCTCAGCCCTCATGGCCACTCCTCAAACCCCATGACTGTCCTTGCTCTCCCCTCATGATCTCCCCTCATGGCCGCCTCTACTTTCCTCTCATGATCTCCTCTCATGGCTGCCTCTCCTGTCCCCTCATTACTGTCCCTCACCCCTCATGGCCAATCCTCACACCTCATGGCCACCCCTTCTTTCCCCTCACCATCTCCACTCATGGCTGCCTCTTCTCTCCCTTCATGATCTCCCCTTATGGCCGCCCCTTCTTTCCCCTCATGATCTCCTCTCATGGCTGCCTCTCCTGTCCCCTTATGACTGTCCCTCAGCCCTCGTGGCACTCCTCACATCTCACAGCTGCCCCTGCTCTCCCCTCATGGTCTCCTGTCATGGTGGCTTCTCCTTTCCCCTGACAATCTTCCCTCATGGCTGCTACTCCTTTCCCTCATGATCTTCACTCATATCTGCCCCTTTTTTCCCCTCATCATCTTCTCTCATGGCTGCCTCTCCTTTTCACTGATGGTCTTCCCTCATGGCTGCTCCTCCTTTCCCCTCATGATCTCCGCTCATGTCCACCACTTCTTTTCCCTCATGATCTCCCCTCATGGCCACCTCTCCTTTCCCCTCATGATCTCCACTCATGGCTGCCCATTCTTTCCCCTCACAATCTCCCCTCATGGCCACCCCTTATTTCCCCTCACCATCTCCACTCATGGCCGCCCCTTCTTTCCCCTCATAATCTCCATTCATGGCTGCCAGTTCTTCCCCTTCACGATCTCCACTCATGGCTGCCCGTTCCTTCCCCTCACCATCTCCACTCATGGCTGCCCCTTCTTTCCCCTCACGATCTCCCCTCATGGCCGCCCCTTCTTTCCCCTCACGATCTTCCCTCATGGCCGCCCCTTCTTTCCCCTCACAATCTCCACTGATAGCTGCTCCTTCTTTCCCCTCATAATCTCCATTCGTGGCTGCCTGTTCTTCCCCTTCACGATCTCCACTCATGGCTGCCCGTTCTGTCCCCTCACGATGTCTCCTCATGGCTGCCCGTTCTTCCCCTTCATGATCTCCACTCATGGCTGCCCCTTCTTTTCCCTCATGATCTCCACTCATGGCTGCCCATTCCTTCCCTTCACAATCTCCACTCATGGCTGCCCCTTCTTTTCCCTCACGATCTCCCCTCAAAGCCACCCTTTCTTTCCTCTCATCATCTCCCCTCGCTGCTGCCCCTCCTCTCCCCTCACAATCTCCCCTCATGGCTGCCCCCTCTTTCCCCTCACGATCTCCCCTCATGGCTGCCCCTTCTTTGCCCTCACGATCTCCCCTCATGGCTGCCCGTTCTTTCCCCTCACCATCTCCCCTCATGGCTGCCCCTTCTTTGCCCTCACGATCTCCCCTCATGGCTGCCCGTTCTTTCCCCTCACCATCTCCACTCATGGCTGCCCGTTCTTTCCCCTCACGATGTCTCCTCATGGCTGCCCCTTCTTTCCCCTCACAATCTCCCCTCTTGGCCATCCCTCCTCACCCCTCATTATTTCCCCTTATGGTAAGCCCTTCTTTCCCCTCATGATCTTCCCTCATAAAATCATTGAACGGTTTGTGTTGGAAAAGGACCTTAAGATCACCCTGTTCCAGCCCCCTGCCATGGGCAGACACCTTCCACTAGACCATGCTGCCCAAAGTTCTGTTCAACCTGGCCCTGAACACTGCCAGGGATGGAGGATTTACCGTTTCTTTGCACAATCCAGTCCAGTGTCTCACCACCCTCACAGTAGAGTACTTCCTTGCATCTAATCTGAACTTCCCCTGTTTAAGTCCGAACCCATTACCCCTTGTCTTGTCACTACAGCCCCTAATGAACAGTACCTCTCCAGCACCCTTGTTAGGCTGCCTTCAGACTGGAAGGCTGCTCATGGCCGTCCCTCCTCTTCCCTCATGATTTTCCCTCATGGCCGGCCCTTCTCTCCCCTCATGATTTTCCCTCATGGCCGGCCCTTCTCTCCCCTCATGATATTCCCTCGCCAGCCTGGAGAGCCCGGGAAAGTCGCCGCTGACAGGCAACCTGGCCGGCTGCTAAACTGTGAGGGGCGAAGGTGGCCTTAGCCCCAAACTGCCTTTTGCTCAGGGTGACCCCAGCACGTTGGAGTTGCAGGGCTCGGGAGCGGCGCCAGAAAATTCCGAGAGGCTGCGGGAGGTCAGAGAAACCCCCGCCACGTTGCCCACAAGCGGCGACACATATCCTGACATATCGCGACATAGCCCCCAGCGCCCCGCCCGCCCCGCAGCCCCTGCCCCCGGCCCCTGCGCGCATGCGCGGGAGGTGGGCGGCCGTGACCGCGGCAGCGGCAGAGGGGCTCCCTTAAAGAGCCAGGCGTGCGCTGCCCGCTCGCTTGTGGGCTGCCGCTCACCTCCAACCCTGCCCCGCCCCTGCCGCGCACCTGCGGGCGGCCCTGCGCAAGGCCTAGGGGGCAGCCGCGAGCCGCGGCGGGCGCTGTGATTGCGCCGGGCTCCCGCCCCCGTCCCCGCCGGCACCTGCGGCGGGCGGCCCCGCTCCGCGCCCGTAACCCGGAAGCGGTGCGGCTGCGAGGAGGGGAGAGCGCCGGGACATGGCCGCTGCCTGCTCCTGTCTCCGCGCCGCAGCCGGCATGGCCCTGCCCGCGGCGACGCGCAGCTGAGCATCGACCTTGCCTTCCCCTTTTCCTCCACCTTCTCCTCCCGCCGCCGCTCGGACGCTGCCTGGGCCGGGGCGGGGCCGGTAGCACTGAGGGGGCCCCTTGCTGCCTGGCAGGGGCCTCGGGGCCGGTGGCGGGTGGGGCTGGGCCGGGACGGGGCCGCGCGTGGTGCTGGGGGAAGGGCCCTTCCTGTGCGCGGCTGCATGTTCCTGGCGCGGGGAGCGCCTGCGCTTAGTGTTGGGCGCTGCACCGAGCCGGGGGTCTGCGTGTTCGTCTTGTACATGTGTACATGTACTTGCGATCTGTTTCCTTTGAGGGAATCTAGGGTGGTGCTTTAGAGTTGTATTTACTGTAGCATTATTTGTGGGATTTGAAAAGGCTGGTTGTACTTCACTTACATCTTGTGGGGTTGCTTTTTTTGTTTGTAAGTTGGCTTTTTTTTTATAAGCACGTTGTCAGGCTGCGAAAAGCTGAACTATTTTTGCTGAACTGTAGTTCCTCCAAGGCTGTCATTGTTTGCATTTTGGGAGGGCAGCTGGTGGCCTTGCAGGAAGGTGTGCAGGTTGTGCTGGAGGAAGGCACTGGGTTGGTTCAGTTTTGATTTCTTTCCAGTATAGGTTAGTTTTTCTCCGGTGTCTCTGATGCCAGAACAAGGCCCCAGAATGAACGGTTTCTCTCTGGGCGAGCTCTGCTGGCTGTTCTGCTGCCCGCCTTGCCCCAGCCGCATTGCTGCCAAGCTGGCCTTCCTGCCCCCGGAGCCCACCTATACTGTGCTGCAGCCTGAGCAGCAGCAGGAGGCTGGGGCAGCAGCTGGGGCAGGGACCCCGACGGGATCAGGCACCTGCAGTCTGCACTTGAGTGAGCGGGCGGACTGGCAGTATTCGCAGCGTGAACTGGATGCTGTGGAAGTGTTCTTCTCCCGCACGGCTCGAGATAACAGGCTGGGCTGCATGTTCGTACGTTGTGCCCCCACTGGCCGGTACACCCTGCTCTTCTCACATGGTAATGCTGTGGATCTGGGCCAGATGTGCAGCTTCTATATTGGCCTTGGCTCCCGCATCAACTGCAACGTCTTCTCTTATGACTACTCTGGCTACGGGGTGAGCACTGGCAAGCCCTCTGAGAAAAACCTGTATGCAGACATTGATGCAGCCTGGCAGGCCCTCAGGACAAGGTAAATGAATATTTGGGGACAAGGTATTTCTGTATCTCTGTTTAATCCTAATAACTCCAATGTCTGCACAGTTGACCTGCTGAGAGGTGGAGGGGAATGGGTTTGTAGATGGTTTGTTATTTTGATGGCCTCACCAGATGTTCTGACAACAGCTGCAATGTGATTTGCTGGATGGCTTCATTTGTTAAAAGGTTTATTCAGCTGTATAATATGTTAGTCATTGCTCCACCACTAAAAAGCTCCATTTTGAGCAAGAGATACTGCACTGGTTGCAGTTCGAGCTTGCAGGGTACAAAAAGAACTTTTGCTTGAGACTTGCCCACCATGATCTACGTGTAGAGAGGTAACCCAGTGGAGCAAAGCTTTGACTGAATTTGGTAGTAGCCTAGATTAGAGCTTACCAAGAAACTGCTGGTGTTCTGTGAAGTGTCTGGGGTTTCAGACATGCTCACCCGACGTAGACAACTTTCAGACAACTGTTATAAATTGGGTAGGGTAGCAGTGTGGAAGGAAAAAGTGTTGACAGGTGGAAGTAGAGCACGGGATTCTGCCAGGAGGAGGTGCCAAAGTAGGTGGCATCCAAAGGGGTGGAGCATCAGTGAGACAGCTCTGGCAAGGGGGCATAGCCAGTAGAAACAAGGAGGCCATGTGTCATAGGAAATCCCAAGCAGATATGCTGCCCCTGGCTCCTTGCTATAATTGGTTGTCATCCATGGGCCTCTGTTGCCTCTTCTGTCCACAGAAACCATGAGCTCTTCTTGCTGTTGCATAAGTGGTTCTTAAAATGGGACCTTGCAGAACATAGGAAGAGAGGGCTTTAAAAGGCTTAAATGGTTGTAATAGGGCAGGAGAAAAGAACAATGGAGGTTTTCTGTTCTTGGCTGTGGGGTTGTGTAGATGAACTTGGCTTCCATGAAATAAGTATTTACTGTCTATCTTAGGGATATGTGCCAGCTTCAAAAATAGTGACAGGAGTTGTTACTAATTCAGATAATTGGCTTTTCAAGGATCTGGGGATTGGTCAGTCATGGAGTCCAACGTCAAGAGCATGGGAAAGAAAGGTGCAGGGGGAAAAACACGTTTTGTAGCAGGTGTTCTGTCTGGTGAGCAGGCCAGGTTCTGGGTACATTTTCCAGTTCACTCTCTCATAAAAAGAAAAATCTTGTATATAAATAAAGAAATAATTTTAATCTGCTGTGTGCAGAATAAATTATTAAATGCCACTATTCCACATATGGATTATGTAAATGATGTCTAGGGAAGGAACAGAGCTGTGGCTGAGCCAAGCATAGTTAATGTTTGTCCTTTAGTTGCTGTGTTTTCTCTCTGTTTCTCTTTGTTTAGTTGATCATGTTTTTTCATGGAGGTATTCTAGAGCTCTGGAGAAGTGCTTTCACATCTGTGTTTAAGTGCTCCTTCTTGACAAGCATTTAGTACATGTTTAAGGTCTACACATATCCAGAAATAAGGGGTTCCTTCACATAAATCTTTCAGGAAACCTGACCCAGTAGGTGATGCCTACACATGCCCAGCTTGCTCTGAGAGGATCAGGCTCCTTCTGTCAAAGTGTGACTGGAAAAGTTTATAATTTTACATTAGAGCTTTTTACTTGGTTTATGCAAGATCTAGGTTTTGCTTTCCTCCTTAAATTGAGGGATTTTAAAAGTCCACCAACTTTTTACTTTACCATGTTTGTAAATCCCATGTCTTAGTGCTACCTTGAGAGTACTGTTAAGAGAAGTTGTGTCGTCATTGGTTAGATTTTCAGGAGCCAAAGGAAATATTACACTAATTTAGGTGCTTAGTAAAGAAATTGGTTCCTGTAAAATGTAAGCTTAAAAAAAAAAACCAAGAAGTTAATTGATTCTGAACAGATGGCAGATGTCTTTTGAGCAGGTATGAACCAAAACAGTAATCTTTCTGCTGATGAATTATCTAAGCAGTAGTGTGAACTTTGATCATTTCTTAGCCCTTCTTAATAAGTCCAGGTGGCTCACAATTAAGTGAAATATTCTGCTGTAAAAATTCAAGTCTGCCTCTTGAGATAAAATATATTATGCCACCTCTGCTGCAGCGGTTCACTGGTAGCTTCCAAGAGTTTGTGTATGCTTTCATTCTTATTGCAAATTCCTGACATTTGGCCTGTAGCCATATGGTGGTGAACTGTAATGCAAAGTTGAAAGTGGAATCTTAAAATAGAGGTTCACTGTGCTATCAAAAGCATTTAGTCATCTGTGCTAAGTTCTGTGGGAAGCTGTTGTTCTTCTGAATCCACCAGACGTTCCACATGGCAGTAGGAAGGAATTATTATAATGTTGGAAGTCTGAGATTCTTTCTTGTTTTTTTTTTACTTGTTTAAAATTGTGCCCATGAAGTACCACTGATACTTACAAATATTAATTTATCAGTGTATTATGAAAGTTTTAGTGATTGACATTACAAAAAGAGATTGCTGCCAAACTGGTGGGGAGCTGCATGTGTTTGCAAGCATAGCTGCAAATTTTGAGTGTGTATTTTCAAGGTACTCAAATGAGGATCTCGCGATCCCATACACATTTAGGTATCAAAGCTTACATAACAGATGATTATAAAACTATTATTTAAATAATGGATGGAAAATAATAAATTTTGTTTGTTTTCAATTATCATCTGTCTTTGGAGAATCTGTCAACTGTACTTTTAGTCTTTGTGAAGAGTAACTTATTTTCCTTAGTCCTAATTAAATGAGTATCTCTTCTCATGAATTAAGTACACTCTTAAATCATAATTTTACTAATTATTTAGTTTGAATGTTGTCTTTCAGCCCAGGTGAAGATGCTGATGTATAATTGTATTCCCTCGAAATGGGTTCTTATAGATGTTCCTTCAGAGGCCTAACTGTAGCATTGGTTGTTCTAGTTCCAGTATAAACTGTTAATTGGTAATTAATTTGGTCTTTTATATATATTTATTTCCACTCGATGAACAAATTTCCATCTGGTATCTAAATGTTTCTCAGAGAATTTTCTGTTTCATTGCTTCAGATAACATTTTTTGTGCATGTGTTATTTTAGGCAGGTTGGTCTGGTTTTGTTCTGTTTGTTCCAAAGCCAGAACCAGATTGAAGAGAAGCTGTATTGGACTCTGCCTTCTATCATGGTCCATATGGTTTTAAGTTGCTGCTTTTTATTCAGATGTGATTAACTCTTATCCTGATATCTGACTGACTTAGTGTAACATCTGCACAGACTGAATTGATTGTTGTCCTCCCCCTTCTTTCCTGAATTCCACATGGGAAGGTTGAACTTTCAAACATGTTTACATTAAGACAATGTACAGTACTTAAAAACAGGATGCACTCTTTGGGTCTGGGTACAGTGCTTAAGCACAAAACCATGACTGCTTTGTTGACTGTGTGCTATTTATATTAAAATCAATTTGTATGTTCTCTAAAAATTTGGAGAAGCATTGTGAAGTATTTTAAAACCCCAGTCAAATGAAGAAGGTACTGCTTCCCCACTCTCTCTGCTTCTGGAGTAAAGCATCAAAGAGGAGAAACTAATAGTCCACCTTTTGGATATTGAAAGGGGAGAAGAAAATATAGTTAATAAGTACAAGAGTAAGAGCTGTTCTTGTTGCATTTAACATAACATAGCTAGATGTTTTTTCATGGTATACAAAATAAGCTAGTAGCTTTCTTTTTTTCCTGTTTAAGCTTTTGATAAATGATAGATGTTACTGCAGTGTATAAATCCCTCATTCTGAAAATGTACATTTGAATTTGTCTTTCAGTTGATAGGAGAGCATTGGTTTGCTTCCATTTTTCATTATGTTTTTTGGCATGATGAAAGGAATTGGATTGTGAAATGGCATAGTAAAATGCAAGGGCTTTTGATCAGTGGATAAGAGGTAATTTAGAATGTTTAAATAGGTTTTTAAACTTTCCCCCCAAATTTAATGTAAAAAATGATCCAAAACGAAACCTTTTATTATATATGAATTTTACTATTTGTGGTGTTGATTATCAGTCTCTTCATATGGCTGTTTCATTTGCAGAAGTTAATGGAAAAATATTGTGGTTTTCATTGGAGTAAAATTGAGAAACACACCTAATTGAATTAGAGTGATAACTAATCTTCTGAGGTTATGTCAGTTTTGTTTGTCTCCATTCTGATTCGCTGCAGTGGTTACAGCTTTATAGATGAATGATACCTTCAGGTTGTTTTACTTTGGTTTGTCAAAGTACTTATTTTGTACTTTAATTTTCTTTGCTACAGAATCTTCTTTCGCTAGCACTGTATTTCGGTGCATAATCTAACCTGAGTTCTTTAGGTTGAATACTTAGAGGGTTCAGTAAGAAGATACCAACTAAATTCCTGATTTGGCCAAAGGCAGTGCTTGGCAGAGTCATGATAAATAATACAGGAGTAATAGGGTTCTCCCTGTTGATGGTTCATCACCTAGTAGATTTTTCTGTCGTTGACTTTGATAGGGTATTTCCCACTTTCAGCTTCTTAATAATGTTGCTATAGTGTCTGCAAAGGATTGTTTAAAGAGTCTGTTCCCTAAATCTTAACTTATTTTACCTGCCACGGTCAATACATCAAGAAAAACTGCATACAGCTTTGCTCAAAAATAGAAACCTACAGAATAGTCTCCTGTTTATGCAGTGAGCAGAGATCAGATGATGAGCATTGCAGGGACAAATACCAACAACTGTTTAAAACAGGTGCTCTGATGTTCAAAGTTACTCAGAATGTTTACTGAGCTTTGGCGAGGTATTACATAGTTAAGTCACTGAAGTAAAAGTGGTTTTGTTAAATGTTTTTTCCCTATTTCTGTCAGGACTACAAGATCAAAGCTTGGTTTTTGTTTTTGGGTTGGTTTTTTTTTGTTTTGTTTTTGTTTTTTGTTTTTTAAAAGATGATTTTTCACTGTCAGAATGTTTTGCATCTAGTGTTAATTGGGAAGAAAAATAAGCTGCTAAAGAGCCTTTGGCTAGCAACGCTTGTTAACCCAGG